ACGCTTGTGGTCAAATGAGCGCCATGCTTAAAACACCTGGCGTGCCGCCCGGTTGCCACGGGCTTGCAAGAAGATGATCTTCCAGGTACCCCAGAACTGCGTCATGAAACCGTGGGAAGGGTTGTTCGGTTTGGTGCCCAGTTTAGCCAGGCCCCAGGGTTCAACCCCCATTAAAAGAATGGCAAGGACCCAATTCGGATGGTGGTGAATGCTACCCCCGGATTAATAAAACCCCTGGTTGGTTTTGATTGGGGGGTGTCCCCTTTTAGTGGGGATTCAGACCACTTTTGGAAGGAACACCCTACTACTGGGACGGGTTTATTCATCCTGGGTCAACATTATATACAACCCCCAAGGTTTTAATGCTGGCAACTGACCCTACAAAAGGCGAGAATCTCTGGAAAAAGCTCAGTGATTTTGATTTTGAGCGAAGGGAACGACCCCAGGCTGGGGATTTCACCCCCTGGAGCCTTCCACGGGCCGCGAGGTGAGGCGACTTCTGGCGGCCAACAAGGTGCAGCCCAGCGACCTGGAGGTGGCGGAGGCTGTGGCTCGATTCGTCTCACGGCGGTACAAACCCATAAGAATTTTACTAGGTCCCCTGGCAATTGGTATCCTTTTACCAACTTGTTTGGGGAGGGAACACCACGGATCGGTGCCCTAGCAGTTGGTGCCCGACCTCTCACCGAAGTTTTTTTGGTTGGGAGGGGTCCCCTAGTGCCCTTTTACCCTTTTTTGGGTGGAGAGGGGTCTCCTAGTAAAAGACACGTCCTGAAAAAAGTTGGTACCTATTCGAACCTCTCTACGGGAGGACCTAGGCCAAGAATCGCTGACCTTCCCTTTGCGGAAAGGAAGCTGTGTTCTTTCCCCCTGGTTTAAAAAGGGAATCGATTTCACGACTGGAAATTGTTGATCATACATGTTTTCCGGGGGCGTAGCAAATGGAAGTGACTCTTTGCCAGACATTTGGCAACTTTTGGCAGCCATTCTGGGTATTGCGAGAGTCAAATGTGCTGTTTTCGATGCTCTTGTCTGCTGCAAAAAACAAAAGCAACACGAGTCAACCAGTGGAGCATTCCCATTTTCATGTGTTTCTTTGGTTTCTTTGAAGCGGGCAAGCCCAAATATACATCAACTTGTCCAATGGCCACTGAGAGGTGGGGTGGGGGGGTGTCTGGGCTTCTCAACCTGCCTCTTTCACAAGTTTCTCAAAGGAGTGTAGCAGCGTAGCAAATGCTTGCCCATCTTCAAATTGCATGTCTGTATGTCTGGCCTCCATGTGGAGGTTTCTCAGGGCACGCCTGGTGGTTTTTTCCCCTTCGAACCATCCCGATTCGATTGGGAGACAAGATATGTGTTTTGCTCAACGCTGTGGCACCGTTTACCGGCCCTTGTGCGGTTTGGCTTTGTGGGTTCTCATCAGGCAACAAAATCGGTGCGTTTGACAAAGCTGTGATTCATGGTCAAGATATGTTTGCATTTCTGTCGGTAGAAGCAAATGAATATGTCTCAAATTAAGAACCAACCGTAAGGGGAGTACTTAAAAAGACACACCCAAATTGTTTGTGTGTGTGTGAGCATTTCACAGTGAAGGTCAAGCATGAACTTGATTGGAGGGATTTGAAAGCCGCCGATCCTGACGATCCTTGCTCCTTTGTCACGCCCCAGACCAGAGGCATTGACCCGTTCAGCAGTCAGAAGCTCCAAGGAACGGAAGTTCGTCAAAGTCATCTAAAGCACACTCTCGCAGGGCCAAGCATCTCTCGGCGGTTCCAGCTTATGTTCGATGCATTTTGTGTGGCCGACCAGGGCTCGATTCGATCCCCGATGACAGCAATGGTTTAAACTCCTTTGGTTTAAACAACCTGTTGGTTGCCACGTGGAACTGTGTCCAAAAAGGCAGACCCCAAAAGCCGAAACGGGGGGTCTCGTTGTTGCCTTGAAGGCAAGCAACTTGACAAAAGCGGCACCACCACCAGCAAACCACCTGTTTTCCCGAAGCCGCGACAACCAGACTTTGTGTTCCTTTGCCTCCCAACCCTAACGATGCCCCAAGGGTCTCCCCCTAGTGATGCTTATTTACCCCCAACCCTTGGCCTAGATATCACTTAACCCCAGGTCTTTTCTTGCCGGTGCTCAGCAGGGAATGCAGGAATGAACCCGGGAATTTCCTCAAGGGAAACCACAAGTTTTCAGGTTTGCGTGATGTTCTCCTGACCCGAAATCGCAGCCAGCCTTGGAGCCAAACATGTTTCCTGCAAAGTTCCCCCCCCCCCTCCCCAGCTTGCCACTGTCAAAAAGATGCATTTCAATCAAATGCATGCGCATTTACTTTCGCTTTGGAGGTCCATGACTGCTTCGCCGTGGCAGAGGTCCTTATGTACGAGGCTGGAATCCGGATGGATGGTTGCGCGAAACTTTAGTGACGCCCCTTGTCCCTGTTTTTAATGGATCTCGGGTTGGCTTCATTCATCAGATTCTGTTGCCCTCGTTTGTGCGTTTGTTTGCGTCCTTGCCTGTTCCGTGTTAGGCTTGATAGATTTAAAAGAAAGTCCCTTGTTGGACAATGTATGCAGCCTGAAAACCATGCCCCACTTGTTCTCTTTTCAGAAACTCCCAGCCCCAACCCAACCCCCCCCCCCAACCGAACCCAACCCCCCCCAACCCCCCCAACCCCCCCCCAACCGAACCCCCCCAACCCCCCAAGCCCCCCAGGCCATCGGCCTGGCGGCGCCGGGCAAGGGCACCGAGCTGCTGAAGAGCGGCGCCACGGAGATCACGGGGAAGACCCCCGGCCCGTCGATCCATGCGTCGGTTCGATGGATCCGAAGACCCGGAGGCTGAAGCCAGGAGTCAACCATAGGTTTCCCCCAGTGCCCTGAACCCGTTTTCTTTTTTGGATGAAACCAAATAGGCTTAGGTCCCCCCAGCAATTGGTGCCCTTCTTTTTTGCCGATTTGTTTGGGGTTGGGAGGGAGTTCCCCTACGAAAATAGACTACAGAAAAAAGTTGGAACTCTTATTCTAACCTCTCTACCGGAGGACCTAGGTAACCCCTACATGGCGGGGAGAAAATCGGGTCGCCCCAAAAATGAGGCGCGCAAATGGAAAGGCATGGGACTTTACATCATATGGCGAAATGGTGTTCTTATGTACCCGTTCTTTTTTTTTCGACCTTGGGACTCGGTTCCAAGTCCTTATGGCTTTGTGACAGAAATCTTTGGACTTGAATTTGTTTTTGGTTGAAGCTTTGTATTGATGTTCCAGTGAGAACAGCGGTTCGCAGAGTTCGTTTCCGACCCCTTTTCCGGTAAAGAAAGCGCCATGGAGCCCAGCGATCTGGGGTGGTTTTAAAGGAAAACGGTCTTCCTGGACCCCGTAAAGCTATGAGATCCTTTGCACCTGTCGAATAGCTCATATTGTGTTGTGTGTGTGTGTGCGGGAAGGACACCGAAAAAGGGAGTGCTACTTTCACCTTTCCACGATTTTGCACCAGGAAGACCCAGAAGAGGGGTGCTCCTAGACCAGACCCTCGATTTACCAAGCAAGATCCACGATTTTGCACCAGGAAGACCCGCAAAAAGGTGCCCTCAGACCCTCAGAATTCAGCCAAAAGGCGCAAGCCGAAAAATCGGAGGATCCCCGTGAACACCGGGGGCGGCCTCATCTCCTTTGGCCACCCGGCGCCTCGGATCGACGGCGAAAAGCACCGGGGTCGCCATGGGCTTTTCAAAACCCGAATCGTGGCTGTGAACATCAACCAATCCTTGCTAAAATATAGGGGGGTTCGTATTGATGGCATCTTTGAAATGACCAAGTTTTGAAAAATCATAGCCAGAATGTCCCATGCCATCAATACGAACCCCCCTATAGACTAAAATGGGTGGTGAATTCACCTACTCGAAAATGGGATCCCATGGGTTTTGAACCATGGCCAAATGAGCCACTTGCTCAAAACCGGTTCTGGTAGAGATGAAGGTTAAGGGACAGTCCCAGCCAACAGCTGCGGATCTCCGCCTCCGCCTGTTCCTTACATGGTTCTGGGTCCGCCAGTAGTGCCCTTTTACCAACTTTGTTGGGGGAGGGTTCCCCTACTAAAATAGAAAAAGAAGAAAAAACACGGTAACCTTATGGTAACCTCTCAAATCTGGAGGACCTGGTGGTTCTGGGTCAAGCATTTTAAGACCGGGTGATGACTCAAAGGTCATTTGTCATGAGAGTGTGCGATCGCGGGTTTGCAGGGCCCCTGAGAAATGGAACTGCAAGAAAAACCAAGTGGTTTCCGTTCAGGGAGTCCCTGGGCTTAGTTTTTACATTCCCTACTTATCATCGCATCAGCAAGGTTGCTGTTTTTTCTTTTTCGAGCTAAACATTTGCAGATGGTGGCCCTGTTCAGATTCACATGTTGGGAATAAGTCGTTGTGTCGTTTGTGTATAGGGTAGGGTGAGGTTTTACCTCTTTAGCTTGGATTCTTGGATCGCTTCTCTCATAGGAACCGTCAGTTGCCTCTCTAAAAGACACCACCCTCTTGCGAAGCACCGGTGACCTTGGAGCATGTTCAACTAGGTCCCCCAGTAGTGCCCTTTTACCAACTTTGTTGGGGGAGGGTGCCCCTGCTAAAATAGACTACACAAAAAAAGGGTACCCTTATTCGAACCTCTCAAATCTGGAGGACCTAGAACTTCTCCAAAAGACACACCCTCTTGCAAAGCACCAGGGTGACTTGGAGCATGTTCAAACAGTGCTCGGCCGGGGAGTTCCAAGGGAAGAATCACCTTCGGAGGTGGGCGCCACCGGTGTGAAGCAAGTCCTTGAGATCTACAGGCAGATGAAGGCCGGATTTGAAAAGGTGGAGAGGAGTTGCCGATTTGACTTGGGCCTGGGGGAAAGTCAAGTCATGTGGGGAGGTGGTTTTTGGAGGGTATTGCCCTTTCGCCTTTTTTTAGTGGTTTCAAAGGAAAACCAAAAGGAGATGTTGCCCCAGGAAAAACATGCCTTTTTTCAGTGGTTTGAAAGGGAAACCAAAAGGAGAGCCAGCACCCAAGTTGACCCAGGAAAAACATGGTTACGGTTACGTGAGTGACGTAGCACAAAGGGTCCTTTTTTGAACGCCGACGCAACGACCACGTTTGGCGTTTTCAACCACAAGTCTGCACACGTATTCCAGCGGTATGAAAAGCTGCACGCCGATTCCCAGACATGAGGTTTTCAGCAAGCCTGAGATGTGAGGGGGACAAACAAGCAACTAACTTGATCAGCTCGACAAGAAAGGGGGATTGCAGAGAGCGTTCATGCTGCTTGCGACACGTTCTGAACGCGACCTGCTACTGGCCGAGCCTAGAGCGGAGTCTGTCTGTGCGTCGTGTGCGGAAAGGGAGAAGTCACGATGGCGCTGCGAAAGACGCGATCCTAGTTCGCGCGTGATGACACCATTTCACGCTTGCCCAGACGCAAACACGAAGTTTTGCTGGCCGAAGCAAGAACGCGAAAAGACAGGTCAAGGAGCAAGCCTGCACGAACAGGATCAGCATGACTAGAAAGGGCGACTGCAGAGAGCGACTGCTTGCGATGCTCTCTGCTCTCGACCTGCTTCTGGCCGAGCCTAGAGCGCTGCCCACCTCAGCCAAGACTACGCCGCAACCATCGAACAATTGCGAATTCCTCGCGTCGCTATCTTCACTTTTGGGGCCAGCACCCCAATTCATCCACGTGGATGTATCCGGGCTCAACAACAAGCCGCAATTTATTCTGTCTGGATTCCAAACTTGCCGAAGCCCAAAGTGGACTTGGCGGTTCACAGCCATCCCCTTAGCTTGTTTAGCCTTTTAGGGTCTAGTGGTAGTTTCCGCTAGACGACCAAAAGCCTTTTGGAGTTATCCCCTTACTTGTTTCTTCTTTTTCTTTTTTTTTTTGGGGGGGGGGGTCGTGGTTTCCACTAAACCACTCAAAGTGTTTTAGACTCGCAAGAGATCTCTAAGAAAAAGCCGCCCCTGCGCAAGTCTTTCCTGCGCCAAATCCATTTTTTTCCCAGGGGCAATGCGGGGAGTACCAGATGCCCAAGCTGCCGGGCCTCGGCCTGGCCGTGAACATGGGCGGGGACGACCGCAGCTCCGCGGCCATGCTCCTGAAAAACCACGCCGCCAGCAAGCTCTGACCCTCCAAGGACCCGAAAGCCGGTCGAAGATCGCAAGCACAGGATGCTCCATAGAAAAAGGAAAGAAAAAACAGATCCAAAAGGGTAGATCAGAAAAGAGAGAGATATATATATATATAAAGACAAGAAAAAGAAGATATAAAAAAAGACAAGGCAAAAAGAAAACAAGGTCCAAAAGAGTAGATCATGTTTGGTTGTTCGTGACACTCGAAGCAATCGTGTGTGAGGCAAATTGTGTGGTTGGCACTTCCTGCCACAAACAGCATGCACGTGTGAGAAGAGGGCGCGTGGAAGTAGAGTCCCTTTGTAATCCAAAGACCCTCCTTTTTGGGACACGTTAGCCGGGGAGTTTTGAGAAATGTTCTGGAGTTGTTCGAACTGTCTCGAACCCACACACACACACAGACACAGACACAGACACAGACACAGACACAGACACAGACACAGACGCAGACACAGACACAGACACAGACACACACACACACACACACACACACACACACACACACACACACACACACACACACACACACACACACACACACACACACACACACACACACACACACACACACACACACACACACACACACACACACACACACACACACACACACACACACACACACACACACACACACACACAAACACAAACACAAAAGAGCTCATTGTTTGGCTTGATTTCCCCTAGCAGGTTTATGAACCCTGCTGAAAACTGCCGAAAATCCGGGGATAAAAGGGCTCCAATTAGCTTTCTCAACATATTTCTTGTAGCTTCCTGCAAAAGAGTTCTTTCCAAAGAGTCATTCATAAGGTTGGTTTCTGAGGAGGCAGAGTGGGAAATTTGGGGCTTCGATGGGTGTGTTGGCCACAAGGTAGCCTCACCATTGTTAGATCGCCCCTTTTGAGAGAGCCCGCGCTGTTTTCTTATACATCGATGGTTTTAAACATCACTGTTTGGAAAGCAGGACTTCTCCCTTCCAATTATCCAACTGGTGGTTTCCTTTGAGGGGGCCGAAGCCTGGGTTCATTCCTTCATTTCCTGCCTATCGCACCAGCAAGTTGTAGTTTGTGGGGATTCGATGCTTATGTCGTTGTTTCCCTAGGTCCCCCAGTAGTACCCTTCTCTCCCCTTTTTTGGTTGGTAGGGTTCCCCTACTAAAATAGACTACAGAAAAGAGAAACCGGGTACCCTTATTCTAACCTCTCAAATCTGGAGGACCTAGCTCCAATTTCCGGGTTTCTTCAAGTTCGCCTCCCCTGCCGTAACCCTTAACCCGGCAAGGACTCGGCCGAAAATCCGTGTCCAAGAAGTGGTCGGAGGGGGGGAATTGCTCTGTGGGGGGAACTTCCTCATTCGTTCCAGGGATCCTTCTGGATGATGTTGAAATATGGAGAACATGTGAATCCCTGTCAGGCCAGAAGAGCTACATCAAGCGGAGTCGAACTATTTAAGCCGAAGATAACAGAAATGGGGGGGTGGTTTGCGTTCGCGGCAAATTGTGCTGCGCCCACCACTGTGACGTTTGAATACAGTCGGCCCCTCAAGCGGCCCCGCGATTGGCGGAGCTCTTGCGGCAGAGAAAAAGGTGCAGCATTCACGGTTCAAAGAGTCAGCGGGCATTCTTCAAGTCTCGAGTGGCATGGTTCTGCCAGATGTGCTTACAGTACCCTTTGCTTTCATTGCTTGGCCACAGGAGTCGCAGCAACACTTAATGGACATTGAGATCACCGTTTGGTTGGCAGGTTGCCTTTTCGGTGGAGGACGTGGGTCTTGTCAAAGCACCCAAAAATTTAGGCAGAGGGGTTCAAAGCATTTCTTGTTTGGTGCAGTCAAACTTGAATTTCCCAGAACCTCTCACTTGTCCGCCGTGGGCCTTTTTGGGTTCACCAATTATTTGGTCAAGGGGCCGGCAAGATCAAAGAAAGGTGAAGCAATGTTCGACGTCAGGAGTGACAGATAAGTTTTGGTGAAGCTTCAGGTTGGCTTCGAAGTTGGGTCACGGATTGGCTCACAGGTCCCCAGTTGCTCTCAATGGCATCCCGATAGGATGCAATCAAGCTAGTGGGTTTGATGTTCGTTGTGTGAGGACCAACCCTTCCACCCAAAGACCATCATTGGAGCCTCCTTGTACTCATGCCCTCTCTAAATTTTCCCTTACGGGCCCAGGCAACCCCTCGTTTTACGAAAACCTGAACTTCGTCTGCACCCTCAAAAGCACTCGCCATATGTTTTGATCCCAGAAAACGTCCCAAACCGGAAGGGTTGTGGCCCGTTGGCCTGCGGTGGCCGCGAAGATGTCCTGTCAGGGGCCCATGGCTTGTTGGGAACAACATTCTGTGTGAGTAATAAGGATCTCACACGACCGAGTTCACCCCGTTAATGGTGGGATTTATGTGGGGAATATCCGTCCAACCACCTTATTCAGGCTGGTGATATGATAATTCAACAAGAAAATTAGGCAAGGCCTGGGCTGCGGGGCGAAAAGTTTTCCGCCCGAGGCTGGGCGGAGCAGTACTTCATCGACCCGGAGAGGTTCTTCCCCGCGCGGGCGCCTGGGGGAGAACACCTCCTGGTGTTGAGTTTGGAAGTCAAGGGAGTCTCAAAAACAGGGTCACGGAAAGATGCTACAGCCTTAGCTCTTTGATTCGGCAGATGTTTTCTTTTCACAATTTGTAGGTTGGTGCATTAAGGCAACCGAAAAGCTGGAACTCTTCCTTGCCTGTCTAGGTCCCCCAGTAGTGCCCTTTTACCCTTTTTTTGTTCATGTTGTGTCAAGCGGATGATAGCCTTCAAAAAACCCTGGCGTCTGCTTCCACGACTACTTCAAAGAGGGATATCTTTCTTCCAGACCCGCTTTGTCACACCCTGTCTTAGCCGTGCAACCAAGCAGCCAAGGACGCATCTGAGGAAGCCATGCAAGTCGCGATGAAGGAAGTGCCTTCATCACTCTTGCCAGAGGCGCGAGTGGGGATTCATCCCTGGATGGTACAAAAATATCTCGACAAGTTCTAAGAAGCTCATGTGGGGGGGTGGGCCTTTCTTGGGGTTTCTTATAAGGATTGCCCAGAAATGTGGCCATGCTTCAAAACCAATGGTACCATTTTGGGATAGGCGCCACCGGGGATTGGGAGTACGGGGCTTTGGACCCATGGCCATGTGGCAATTATTTTAATGGTGAGCCGTTGTCAAAAATGGTTCATGCACTGCTCGCCCCATGCAAATGATGTCTACCACAGGGTCCCAAATTAAGGTAGATATAGCTTGTCAAAGCGAGTTGAAGCTGTGAAGGCAACCCGAGAACCAACCACTTGGAGTGCTACACGGCGGCGAAGCCTTTTGGTTCGGCCTTGCCAGACAGTCAAAATGCATTGGCGCAGGTGCTTGTTTTTGGCCGTGCATGTTGCAACAAACGCTTCCGCACATGCTTATGTCACATGGAGGGTCGACCTCGACCTGATTTCAGGGGAAAACCTTTGAACTGCAGCGCAAGAAATGGCATGGAGGTCCCTACATGGCCCTTATTGTAAGAAGCCCTATGAACAGGCTTGGGTACTTGTCAAAGCGAACTGCAACTGATTGTGATGCTGGCCTTCTGCAAGTGTCCCTTTTCTTTTTGAGCACCCCCGAAAAGGGTCCCTTGGTTTTGACACGCGGCTTGCCACCATATGTTGCGCAAAGCGTTTCAAGTTGGCGGGAGCCTGAGCACCCTCCTACTGTGGCTGATAGTAAATGTGGATGGATCAACTTAAATTAGTGTCTAACCTGTTCGAGACCCGCTCCGTCAAAGAAAAAGAGAAGGCCTTTCAAGGCGGCGTGACATGCTGCTAACGACTTATTTTCAGTTGCCATTCTGCCAACCCCACCCAACAATTTAAAGCAGAGCCGTTTCGGAGGCAACCTTTGGTCTTTTCTTGCTCTACCCGTCATGTACCCAGGCTGACTGCAGAGGGAAAGCCGTATTATTGCGGGTCGCCCCCTTTATGATTGGATGGTCTTTTGAAGAGGCACGTCGAAATCAGAGGTACCTGACCCTGGATCTGTTGGATGCACCGGGTTAGAGACTTTGAGAATGGTCAGACAGTATACATTAATTTGCCCTTCTGGCAATACATTGGCAGTCCCCATGCCCTTTTCGCGACCCTGCGAGGGCGAGGTTCTATTTTGACTTGGTGTTGCTGGCAATGTCCTCAGCTAGTTTGCGCCCATCGGAGTGCCCGAATGCCAAACCAGCCCCAATGACGACACTCTCGGGCGTCAAAGTGGTTACAGAAACTGCTCTTGGAGAGTGCCGTAACTGGAGCTCAAGAAGAGAGCAACAGAATGTGCACTAATGCTAGGTCCCCCAGCGATTGGTACCCTTTCTCTCCCCTTTTTTGGGTGGGAGGGCTGCCCTACTAAAATAGACTACAGGAAAAAAAGTACCCTTATTCTAACCTGTCTCTACTGGAGGACCTAGGTGTGATTCTTGGCTTCCCTTTTCCCAAAATATAGGAGAGGCAGGCATATATCCCTTTGTGGCGTTCTAGTGGTCACTTGGGAATGACGCAGGGTGTTGGGAATGAACCATTTGGGGATTCCCTTAAAGGACACCACCAGTTGCATGGATTTTCTTTTTGGGTCATCCCATTTCTCACGTTTTGGCTATACAAGCTAGCTTCATGGTTCGCCGTGTTTTGACTGAACCCCCGGGACTGTTTCCTGGCTTCGCTTCGTGACTACGCATATGGCCATGGGCTTTTCAAAATCCAAAATTCCGTACCAGTGAACATCCGATTCAATCCAACCACTATCATAGGTTCTTTTCATGAGTGGTGAATTCACCTACCAAAATGGGATCCCAAAACGGTTTTGACCCATCCCAAACATGGCCCAAAGCCAGCGCCAGGCTTTGCGGCCGCTGCCGGAGGGCACCAAGGCGACGTACGCGGATGAGGGACATGGTTTCTGGGTCCTGAGGTCGTGGGTCAAAATTACACCAGGAATTGGACCGAAGGTCTGAGTCCTTTCCATGTGCCAGGGTTCCATTTTGGGTCCAGTTTTTTTGGACCGGCCTTGTGTTGACTGCTAGGGGTTATCATGGTCAGAAAATGGGGTTCCGTGACTTTGCTCGCAGAATCATGGGGCCAGTGGTCCGTTGATTCAATGGGGTGCAGCCAACATGGCATTCGCAGCCACTTTTTGAGGAACACCTGTGGGATCGGTCAGTCTTGCATATGGCGTGAGCCAAAACGAGCTCACCGTGGCCCTTTCCCTCGGGGTTCTCAAGCAAATGAGACTTGGGAATTCGCGTAACGTGCAGATGTTGACGGTTTCTGCCTGGTAGAATGGGGGCGTGAATCCGCAAGCCTTACAAGACTACGATCGGCTTTGTGCATTCAGTCACGAGCGCGAATCTGGGTGTCAAATAATGTATCAGAGGAACTAAGATGCTTCGGGACTGGTGGGATGCAGCTATAATAATTGAATCTGTCCCCATCCCCACTTGCAAACCTAGCAAACAGGGAAACCACAAAGACGAAATTGGGTGTCGCTGATTGTGTTCAAAGAGAAGGCAAGGTGCTAGGGATGAACATCAACCCTGAACAGAGAATCTGAAGCAACGATTGTAAAGATTCCTTTGGAGGAGGCCCTATCTATACCCCGCAGCTGACAAAGCCTGCACTTTTAGAGGCGTCACTTCGACCAGGGTTTGCTTCTTGAACCATTCTAGGTCCCTCTGTAGTGCCCTTTCTCACCCCTTGTTTGGGGGAGGGTTCCCCTACTAAAATCGACTGCAAAATAAAAATTGGTACCCTTGTTCTACCCTCTCTGCTGGACCTACTTGAAGTTGACAGTCAAGTTGGACCCACAGCTCTGGCCTGCAAGGAAGTTGGTGTTGAGCTGTGCCAGGTGCGGGTGACCCGGGACGATGCCACATTGGAGAGGAGTCGACTCGCTTCTCAGATGCTGAGATGGCTATGGCTCAAAAAACCGGTACCTTAAAATGGAACCCTGGTAAGTGGAAACATGGACCAAAATCCGCGTAGCCCCTCCTCTTTAATTTTGAGCCATAGCCGGATGGCAGTCTTAGGCATCATCTGGGTCCCCCAGCAATTGGTACCCTTTTACCGTTTCTTTTTTGGTTGGGAGGGTTCCCCTAATAAAATAGACCACAGAAGAAAAAAAGTTGGTACCCTTATTCTAGCCTCTCTACTGGAGGACCTAGGTCATGGATGGCTTATTGTAGGAGACCCGAAAATGGCTGGAGGTTCCTTCAGGCCACAAGCGGGGGGGTCCGATGTGTTTTTGGAGTTGTTAAGGGCCGAGCGCTGATTGGCTGATCTTCTTAAGCGGGATTGTCACTGAGTCGCAGGATTTGGTGCAAGGCTCTTTCGGGTGCTTTGGAAACTAATAGAGGACCCCTGAAACAGTCAAACGAGTCTGAAATAGAATAAGACTTTGTACAATAGAGGGTACTATTAGTAAAGGAGGTCTAACATTACCCTCTTTCCAAAGAATCGTGGAAAGTGGCAAGTGCCTTTCCAAGAGGACTATGTTTCGTCTTCCAAAGCTCTTCGGCTTTCTGGCATGCTCAGGCTTGAGGCCCGTATGCAGTCCCAGTGGCCCAATTTGTCGACCGTTGTTAGTGTTCGGAGGGCTCGGGCCTATGAGCTTTGCTTCGGACAGCTCTGCAGGACCCAACGGATGGTGTGGTCCTGCTTGGGGCCCGATGTGCGATGGCCCCGCAAGGCCGGGGTGCTGCAAAGTTTCTCGGGCCCTTTCGTGCCAAGTCGTTTCCCCAATTCTTGGCTGGCTTACCCGAAGGATCCCTTGTTGTTTGGTGGGGCCCTCACTCAAAATGGTTCTTGACACAAAACAGGACGGGGCAACTGGGATTTGAAAGCCAGAACAGCAAGATCCATTTGAGTCGATGGTTGATCCAATGGAGAGGAAAATTGCCGGTTTCAACATACAGACTTCCATTTGCTGAAGATTTTGCGTTTTCCGCTGTTGGTTTTAAAGGGAATAATAGATCGCTGCTGTGTGTTTGTTTTTTCCATTTTTCCGGAAAGACTTAAGCAAATGGAGGCAGACTAGCAGCTTCTAACCGGGGAAAGCACAGCCCCCCCCAAACAAAAAAGGAAATGAAAAGACTGAACCACGCCTGGTGTGTTGATAACGTCAATCGGGGATTATCTTTGGCCTTTGAAGGATACCAAGGCTACGCTCGGGTAATGGTGGTTTCCGTTGGTCTCCGCGCCTCCACCCTGGTGACAACACTTCTCGGGTGTCCCTTGGTGGGTTGATGCTAAAGGGATATATATATATATATAGAGATATATATATATATGTAGAACCCAGGGTTCAGGTGGGTATGGTGGTTTCTCGGAATGAGTTTCTATGGTTTTAAAGTGTTCAAGCAACACTTGGTTGCCATCTCACATGACGTTTCTGGCGAGTGGCGTAGTGTTCAATCGGTGCACGTGAGGGACGCTGATACTTGAAGAGTATTGGGGATCGGTGTTGCTCGTTGGCGCTTTACCTTGAATTAAGCTATTAATTCTTTTGGAGAACCAGTCCTTATCAGGAAGTTTACCAGCGGCGTCCTTGGGCTAAAGCCAGCGAAACATTGTACAAGCACCTTTTGCTTAAACAATCAGCCTTCTTCAGGGACCCTACATGCCCCCCCAAGAACCCTTTCCCAGCCCTTGAGGCCTATTGAAGCGGTAGGGTCCTTGGATAGAGTCCCATGTTGAAAAAGTTCAGTTTGGGGCGTTTCTCAAAAGAGCGAACCCGTTTGTGTAGCCCTATTTTCAACTAGGTCCCCCAGCAGTGCCCTTGTACCCTTTTTTGGTTGGGAGGGTTCCCCTACTAAAACCACGGCAAAAAGGGTACCCTTATTCTAACCTCTCTACTGGAGGAACCTAGTTGTTCAATGGACACAGGTGTGGGCATCAAATTGGAAAGGAGTTGGTGTCGGGAAAAGTAGTCTTGTCGCGATGTTGATGGGTCCTGGGTGCAACTTCCCCTAAAAGACCGCATTTTGTGGTCCGAATCCCTCTCTCCAGGAGCTGCTGGGGCAAGTGGGCACTGTGATGTACTCGGAGCCCAGTGAGACCAACGCCATTCAGGCGCAACGTCACTGATTCGCAGCTGCTCCCGTGCTGCGCAAGAGGCTCCCTTCCCTTGGGAGCTAGTTTTTTTTGTTTTCCAAGACTCCAAGCAATGCAATTAGTGTGGTCCTGTTTTTGAAGGTGCACGCAGTGCTTCGAACACTGGACGTTTTCTTTTGGGGGACCCAATGATCAAAAAGTCAGCCTGCCTTCAGAGACCACCCAGCAGGTTGCTCCTTGACCGACACCTTCAAGATTCAGGTATCATATTCATCACAAATGTTGAGTAAGCTCTATGTATCCAAGTTGTTCTTGTACTGCGTGAGTATGGCCTATAGAATTTGTCTTGCCAGCTCTAGTAACATCAGGTGCAAATGTGGTATAAACATGAGAAACCAAAAGCCTGTTGTTGAGCAGCGGTTTCAAGCTTGAACCGTTGTGTGTGATGCTACTTTGGAAAACTGGAAACCAAAGGTTGGGACACAGGAGACGGGGTGGGGGTGGAGTGAGGTGGGGAGTGGGGTAGGGCAACAGGCATAGGTGTCCTTTTTGGTTGTTGTGGTCGAAAAATAGATGCCCCTGATTTACCTGGTGGTTTAATCATCACCCAAACCCATGAAAAATCTATCGCACGCACGCGCGAAATCGCCAGATTTTTCGAGTCGCGCGCGTCAGGTGCAGTTCTCACCCGAGCTGGTCACGCCGCTGCCTAAGATGCGAAGGGCGGCAACTGACTTTGTTGAGCATGTGCTGCGGTCGTTCTAGGGCTACCTTCCATTTCCATTCTTTCCAGAGGTCCTTCTTTTCAGGAAACCATCAAAAACCCAGGGAAACAGCTGGGTTTTGAAAAGAACGATGGTTGAAAAGAATGGGGGGTCAGCGCCTAGAGTCATGCGTTTGACCGTTTCCGGGGGTTGTCAAAAGTCAGAAACTGGATGAAGCAGGGGTTGTTTCCCTTGAACCTACCCCCCACTTCTGAAAAAACAGGAACCATCCCAACTTCCCCATATCCTTTTGTGCAACATAGGGGCCGACTTGCCCAGCGGCAAAGGCAAAAGAACAAGCAACCCGAATTCCCCTTCAATGTCCCTTCCCTTTCTGCTTGGTTGGCCTAGAGAATTTTTTCTGGGAGAAGGCCCTGGACATGGGCCGAGGGGTTGATCAATGTCTTGGGCTTTCAAATGGCCATGGGTAACTTTTGCCCTTGGCAAATGTCATCATCATCATCATCATCAGTATCCGAGCTTTTGATCAACCCCCACACGCAGATCCTTCTGAAACTAGACCTTTGGGTCATCCCATTGGCCAAGTGGCACGTCTCGCTCGCTCGCGCCCGCCGCGAAAGGGCCATGCGATCCGACCTCCGCGGCGGCTGGCGGGCCGGGAGTCTCGGTCTCGGCACGCGCGCCATGCGGGCGCAAGGGGCGCGGAGTCCCTTTGAACTGTGTGAGTGGTCCCCCTGTCAACGGATCCACTCGTGTTTGGGGTGATTTTTCTATGTATGGTGCTCCCTTGGTTTGGTGCTCCCTTGTTTTTATTCTGAAGTCGGCAGGTCAAGTTTAAGCCACCAGAGAACGGCAGGTGTTGGTCCTTGTCTCCATTTGCCAGGGTTCCATTTTGGGTACCGACTTTTGACCCACAGCCATTCGTGTTTGGTGATTTTTCCTATGGTGCTCCCTTGGTTTTGTTTTGAAGTCGACACAGACTCACTTCCGCTTCTTTTCAGGAAGATTATGACAAACAACTGGTCTGATTATATACGGTTGTTTGAGCAGTAGGAAGAAGTGAATGGCTTGCTGATGCACCCGAATCCCGTTTGTAGGACTTCCTTTGCCATGGCATGTTTAAAGGAAGAATTATCTCACCAAAGCTATGCTACCCCTAGATCCAAGGAATGATTCTAAGATAAACAGCCTACTGTTGGGCATGATGTGGGCTTTGTCTTTTCAAATAGTCTGTTTCAAGGTGACCTCACTCTTTTCTTGTCAAAACAGACAAGTTCAGAGGTGCATATCATTTAGGTGGATTCATGTCCACCAACCACTTGTGAGATGTTTCCTATTGAAATATTATTGCCATTTTGAGAGTTCTGCAGATATTGATTACAACAGTGGGTCCTGCATCTAGGACATGTCCTTTCTGGCATTTTTTTTGCCGACAAGGCTTCCTAGACCTCGCTCGCACCAAAGGGATCCTTCAACTTTGCCGTCCCTTTCTCCCTCTGGAGATCTTTTGAACCCTATGTGCGGCCCACTTTGGTGATGCTTAAAGGGTCAGCAGACTTGTTCGGTACAGAAAATGTGTTGCTGGAAGAACCAAAACCTTGGCCATGGCCCAGAATTCACGAGTTTGGACAGACAATGTCGGACTTGCTTGCAGATGGTGTGTACAGTCTTGTGTGGGGCATGCAAGCTCAAGAGAGATATAAAGTGGGCTTCAGCTTCAGTCAAGAAACCCCCCACCCTAGGGTCAAGAGCTATGCTTCACCTTCAGCTTCAGTCAAGAAACCCCAAACCCCCACCCCTAGGGTCATAAACCGGGACTCAGCTGCTTCAGTCCCCACCCCCCAGCCTGGGGTCAAGAGCTCTTCACAGAAGCATCACCCGCCGAAGCCGGGCTTCGGGAGCTCGCAGGCGCAGAGGCTGCAAGCGCTGGAGAAGCAAGGGGTGGTCTTCCTCCACCGCCAAGCCCTGGAGATCGAGGCGCGCCTTCGGACTTCGTTCCCGCGTGTCGACCCAGGTGTAGTCATAGCTTCCCCAGAAGGAGTTCCCCTTTCTTATGTGTTTTGGCTTTTTTGGGGGTGCCCTTTGTTTTCCACGAACCAGGCGAAACATCGCTGGGGTCCTAGTTCCAGCCAAGCTAGGTGTCCTTTTTGGTTGGTTTGCTTAAAAGCATAGAGGGGTTCCCCTGGTTTAGATGGGGTTTATTGAACATTTACCAGGGAAACCCATCCATTTTTTTACAAAGGGCACCTATGGCCCAGGCGCCAGTTCGTTCCAATCCCCCAACTCCGTGCCTCGAAGCTCCCCAAATCCCGAAGCGAAGGCGAAGAGATGTGGGTCACCGGACTCGAGCCGAAAGTGTTCCGAACAGGGCCCAAAGGCCGAATGGCTTGGTGCCCCAGCGATTGGTGCCCTTTCTCACCGATTTTTTTGGGGGGGAGGGTTCCCCTACTAAAATAGACCACAGAAAAAAGTTGGTACCCTTATTCTAACCTCTCTACTGGAGGACCAAACGCCGAAACAAGCAGAACCCGTCGGTGGTTTTGGTTCGAAAATCGCCAGGTGGACGTTGCGGTGGCTGCCACGTGACTCGGCACATCGATTTCGGCTAAACATGGGGGACGCCTTCGGTGGGAAGAGCACATGGACTGCCATTTTGCTTAAGAATATTGTTTAATCCCCCCTGTTAGTTTTAAAGGGAAACTATCTGTGGATTCAGGTTCCAACCCTGTGCATGAGTGTACTTGTACATGCTCCGCCGCTACAGACTTCAAGATCACTGACAGCAGTGTGAAAAGGTAGTCAACGGTTTGCTGCTTGCCTAGGTATTCCCTTAGGTGGCCTAGGCTTGATAACACAGGTTATCAGCCGTAAAGGCTTGTACAAAGATCGCCATGGCATCCGGAGATATGCCTGCCATTTACAATATATCTGGAGATGTTGGTGACGGTAGTGAAGGTGCAGTTGCACCCAATGGTCCTGTCGACCCTCGCGATCCTCGAAACGTATTCGGATTCGCGACAAACTATCAAGCCACCCAGAACATCATGCATGTGCATAACGACACGGGTGACGCTGTTAGGGAAGAGGCCAACACGTTACATCGCGTTGCTATGGATGCTGCAAGGGCGGAATATAGCGCTCATTTGGCGGAAACTGTGCATCGCCTGGACGAGGAGAACAACCGCCGGACCCTTGAGCTGCACGAGCAGTTCGCAGAGTCCCACGCTTTCTTCAGCGCCCAGGTTAGCCAGATGCGGGGAGCAATTTCTGCCGAAGTGAACGAAGCTGTGTCGCAAAGAACGGCACAGTATAGCGCTTTCGCACAAAGCTTACATGCTGAGACTGTTGTGATGGAGAACTCGGAAAAGGCGGTCGGTGAGCAGAGAGACAGTATTTTGGCGGAGAACCACGCCATGCAGGACACGATCAACGGGCTGAACGACACCGTTGAGCGTCTGAGGAACGATCTCGAAAAGGCGCAGCGTGAAATGGTGCGCGGAGATCCTCAGCCTGCGTCAAGTTTTCAGAACGTCAGTTCGGAGTCGTTTTTGGATAAGAGGGGCAGTATCTTTGATGATCCGCGTCTTTTTCCAACGCAGAATGCACAAACTTCTGGAACTATGCCACAGATTATTCCACAGCAGAGTTGGACTGATCCTATTTCTGGTGCAATGCAGTTTGATATCAAAGATCATGCGAGACGGTCTTCGGAGCAAGAAAACAGCAGAAGTCAGCAAAATCAGCCGACAAGTCAGCCGAACATTGATCGGTTGACTGGTCCCGAGACCACCGAGGCGGAGTTCCGTGCGGCCCTCCTCGGCTTTGTCCGGAATCAGCATGATCGGCCAAAAGCAAAGGAAGCTGATTCGTTAAGGCTGAGTGAGTTTCCCACTCCTGAGACCTATAGAGCCTGGAAAACGGCTACTCGCGAAGAGATTCGGGCTGCTTCAGATCGGCCTGACGCTGCATTCACCTGGGTTAACAAGGTGTACGTCAACCGGGAGGACAAGAAGAATCTCATGTTAGAGCTTGGAGATCCAGAGCAGTTTGAAACGTTGGATACAAAGCTTCTTGCAGCCTTGTCGCGGATTGCTAGGGGCGACCTTAGTCGGCAGATCCTTACATACAAGGAGCAACAAGCTGCTTTGGACAAAGTTGTCCGTGGACGTCAAGTTCTTCTCATGTTTGAGCAGTATTTCAGGACAAATGAGGAGGCCGGAGCGTTGTATTCCACTGAAGATTTGTTGAAGGTGGTACTTCACGGCAATGATTTGATGACCTTCATTCAGAATTGGGATTCCGTCATTGCTGGCATGAAGATCGTTCCGGAGCAGCACGTCTTGAAGGACATATTCTTGCGACAGATTCGTGGATGTCACAAGATCAAGTATGACCTCGATACATACGAGCGTGCAAAAGATGGGTCGTATGACAAGAGCTACGAGTTTCTTGTTCAAGCCGTTCGTGATGTTTTGACTCGGGAGCGATTGCAGTCAAATCGTGATCGTGTCGCTCGAGCTCACAATCAGAAGGTCGGTGCTCCAGCTCCCAATGCAAATCCTGGGCGTGCAAGAGATCCTTCAGCGGTCAGGTATTGCTACGATTTTCAGAAAGGCAAGTGCACTCGGGATAATTGCATTTACAAGCATGAGAAAGACCCAAGACCCCCGAGCCAAAATCCGAAAGGAAAAGGTCGGGGGCGCTCTGACAGCCAGGGGAGAGACAGGGATCGGTCGGCATCGAGAAAGAGAGCGGAGCTGAAAAAGATCCCGTGCAGGTTTTTCAAAGGCGGTCAGGGGAAATGCACTCGTGGAGACAACTGTGCGTTTTCGCATGAGACTCGGTCTGCTGCACCAGCAACAGATAAGCCGAGCCCAAAGAAAGGAGCCAGCAGAGGTAGGTCTCCCACCCCAAAGGGAAAAGGGAGAAAGCGATCCCAGAGCAAAAAGGGCGAGTCCTCAGCCGCTGTGTGTCTGAGGGTGAAAGAGACCAATGCATGCCTCGCAGCATGCCGCCCAAAGAAAGATTTCTGGGAAGTTGACTCGGTGAACGAGATGGTCATTCGACACCATGTGATGCCCCGAAAAGCGCTTTATGATCCGAAGAGTGCAAAAGACCTTCCGATTTCGCTGGAACGTTTATTGGATCAGCGCATCACCAAAGCCAACATCAATGGCAAAGAGCAAGTGTTTGGTGATTTCTGGGCGGATCCTGATGAAGGTTTGGAGCAATACTGGACTGGGCAAACAATTTTCATTTGCAGTACAGATGTTTCCAATACCCGCAGATGCGTCAAATTCGCAGACAATGTCGAGATCGTCGAGATCGAGGCCAACGGGCTATGCCTATCATGTGCTCCAAAGCCGAATGACCCTGAGGTTGTGTGGTATGATGGTTGTGCGCCTGGCTCAAATCCCAAGGATCTGATCGATGCTAAAGACAAAGCGTTGATTCTGGAAGGGGTTGTTGACTTCATGCATGCAAACTACAACGCGCCTTGTGGGTTCTATTGCGAATACTATGATGACAATGACCCAATTTATTGCGGTTTGTATTGTCCTGGCTGTTGGATTGATGATGATGAAACGAACCTTGACGATGTGCCGGAGTATATTGCTACGCCAGCACCAGCAGGGCTTCGTCAGTGGATTGTCGACACAGGTAGTGAACAAGATCTGGTTGACTCTGAGCGTGCAGTTACACTTCAAAAGAAGATAAATCCTGCATTGACTCCAATCAATCTTTCAACAGCAAATGGATCAATTTGTGCAGACAAGATTGCGGACTTCTCCATTGATCAGTTGAACGAGGTCGTCACTCCGTATGTTTTGCCGAGCACGCCAGCTGTCCTTTCTGTTGGTCAAAGATGTTTGGAAAAGGGGTACGATTTCGTATGGAGAAAGAACAGTGCTCCGTACTTTGTGCGACCTGACGGCAAAGCGGTAATATTGAAGCTCGATGGGCGAGTTCCGTATGTTGACGATCAGTGCGAGGTCATAGCTTCTGAATCCGCTATGCCTGTTGCGCTTGCTGCATCCGATCAGAAGATCGGGGGCGTTGAAGTGCCTTCATCTTCAAGCGGGGGGCAACCTCCGCCGGATGCCGCATCGTTTCCATTGCGCCCTGATGAAGCTGAACCACTGGAACCGGAGTTTGATCCGGAATTGGAGGACAACCCTGAGGTTGCGGAAGCTCCAAAACCGATGTCAAAGCGTTCAAAAGAAATGATGATGCGTGAGGCCAAAAGTGAAGAGCATCTTTTCACTCACAGGCCCAAGAACCCCTTTTGCGAAACGTGTGTGCGATCAAAGATGCAAGCACCTCAGGCTCGTCGCAGACATGGATCTTCTTCGGTGGATGCAAAAGCATTTGGAGATCATGTGACTGCTGACCACGTCATTTCAAATGATGAGACGTACGGGTTCAAGGGCGAGTGGAATGCTTTGGTCGTGAAAGATGTGTTCACGCAGTTCCGGTATTTTTACCCTTCAGCAAGGCAAGATGCTGACAGTTGCGTTCGTGCATTTCAACATTTCACGAAGCCAGATGATCATGTTGGGATTTTCTATTCTGACAATTCTGGCGAAATTGCAGCTGCAGTAAAGAGTATGGGTTGGAGACACGTGCTGAGCCAGCCATATGTCAGTCAATCTTCCGGGGTGATCGAGCGCGAGATTCGTACAATTCTGGAGGGAGCAAGAGCAAATCTGTTCCAAAGTGGTTTGCCGGTTGAGCTTTGGCCTTTGGCAGCTCAACATCATGCATTCGCTCTCAATGTTACAATTCCAGATGACAAGGACAAGTCGCCGTGGGCTTTGCGTTTTGGTGATGAGTTTCCTGACACGAAGATCCCATTCGGTGCAAAATTGTGGTACTGGATCAATCGTCAGCGCGTCGATTCGAAGCAGTCCAAGTTTCTGCCAACTTCGGATGTCGGCATTTTTGTTGGCTATCATGTGCAACCTGGCTTTACCTACACGCATGAAATTTTGGTATTGCCGCTCAAGAATTTGCCGGACA